GACAACCTGTGGGATGTCTTTATTAATCAATGCTGGAATAAGATTAAGCCAACAGTACTAGAACACTTGTTGAATCTAAGCCAGGAAGAGTTAAACCTATTTTAAAATCAAACGGGGGTCACGCAAAATAATGTTCACTTGGCTAATATATTATAATATAATATAATCAATTCCAACATTGATGTAAAATTGTAAATCCTACATTGATGTACATATAGTCCTGTGTTGTGGGAAAATATATTGTATATCAATAAAAGGCAAGAGATACTGCCAGACAGTCAGATACTTCAATCACATCAATTTTTCATAACCTTGTTTCTGACTTATTAAATATTCAAAACTGTCAAATATTCTACTCTGAATTCCATCCTCGCTGGAATTGTAGTAAATATCGTCCAACTACTCGCACGTTAATCACGATTCCAACCACCCGTCTATCCTATGACTTCCCAACTTTCTTCTTAAGCAACACTCGTTCAATGGCTAATAAACTGGATGAGATCAGTGCAACTATTACTAATAATAAATGTGATGTTGCAATCATCACAGAATCATATATGGCTTTCGTCAAACATTACGAATGATCTCATTAAGATCCCCGGATTTTCAAGTATTCGCAAAGACCGATGTGACGATCAACGTGGTGGTGGACTCTGCACCTACATCAGAAATACATTGGACTTCCTAGAATTAAAAGACTTATCTCACCCCGACATTGAATCACAGTGGTTCTTGATAAAACCAAAAAGACTTCCAAGAGGAATTGATGCAATTGTAGTAGCCTCTGTATACCACCCTCCACAAAATAACGATTCAACACTAAGGAACCATCTATTTGAATCCCTAGACAACGCCCTCATCAATTTTCCAAACGCAGGCATCGTCTTGTTAGGGGACTTTAACCAGTTTAAACCTGGATCATTAACTTCATCCTTTAATCTTAAACAAGTTGTGAAAAGACCCACCCGTGGTAACAATATCCTTGACAAGATTTACACTACCCTTTCGAAGCATTACATTGATGCCATTATACTCCCATGCATTGGACAATCTGATCACCAAAGTGTTCTCCTCAACCCGACTAAACAAAGTCCGAAGTCACTCAAGTCTTATACCCCCTCCTACATTACTAAAAGAGACTGTCGACCCGCAAACAAACAAGCCCTAATCACCACCTTATCCCAAATCAACTGGACCCCACTTTACCACGTAACTGCTCTAGATGATCAATTCAACCTATTCTCGAACAAACTATCCTCTGTTATCGATAGTCACCTCCCTCTGCGCACCATAAAGTGTTACCCTAAAGATAAACCATGGATCACTGCAGATATAAAAAAATTCATTTCTAAAAGGCAGAAAGCTTGGTTAACCAGCAACACTATCATGTATAACGTTTATCGTAACAAAGTTAGAAAACTATGTAAATCTGCTCGTCAGTCCTACTACGATAAGAAAATCCTTAATACCAGTGAATCTAACCCAAAAAAATGGTACGATAACATCAAGTCTATTTCTGGTCTATCTAAATCGGAACCTTTTTCGAGCATCTTCCATGATGGTGAGTTCAAAAGAGGTCCTGAGCTTGCTGAACTAATTGCCGAATCTTTCTGTGCTGTTTCAAACGAATTGGCCCCACTCTGCTTCAATAAGCTTCACATTACATCTGTTCCTGATGAGTACATAATATCAACCCAACAAGTTGAAATCGAATTGGAAAAGATCAGTCTTCAGAAAGCAATTGGCCCCGACGATATCCCCAACTGGGTACTGAAATCAGCTGCACCGTTGCTCGCTGGTCCAATATGTTCCATCTTCAATGCCAGCATTGCACAAGGTTGCATCCCGACACTCTGGAAATCAGCAGACGTTATCCCAGCGCCAAAAATATCTAATCCCAAATCAGTTGATAGCGACCTAAGACCTATTTCTCTCACACCGGTGCTGAGTAAATTATTGGAAAGCTTTGTTTTTCGGTGGCTTTTTGGTTATATTAAACCATCAATCGACCCGCTCCAGTTCGGAAATATGAAAAATTGCTCCACCACACACGCTCTTATCCACATGATCCATAACTGGCTAGCCGAATTAGAAAACCCTGGTTCAACTATCAGATGTTGTATGATTGACTTTTCGAAAGCCTTTGATCGCATCGATCACAATATTTTACTTCATAAATTACAACAACTCAACATCCCTCCTATCTTGTTGAATTGGTGCGCTGAGTTCCTGCATGACCGATATTTACGTGTCAAGCTTGGCCAGAATAAATCAACATGGCGACAAATAAATGCAGGGGTTCCACAAGGTACAAAACTTGGACCCCTCTTCTTCCTTGTGATGATAAATGACTTGCAAACCAACACTCCAATGTACAAATATGTCGATGACTGCTCCACATACGAAATCGTTTCAAGATCGTCCCCTACTTCATCGCTTCAAGCTAATATAAACACTATAAATGACTGGACCAATCACAACAACATGCGGCTTAATGTATCTAAAACCAAAGAACTGCGTATATCCTTTCTTAGAGTCCCTATGGTATTCGATGCCCTCTCGTCATCTGGTTTAAACATAGAAATCGTCCAGACCTTCAAACTTCTGGGAGTGATAATATCATCGGATCTTACCTGGAATGCGCACATTGATTACATCTGCACCAAAGCAAGTAAACGTCTTTATGCTCTAAGGATCCTCAAACGATCTGGTGCCCCAGCCAATGATTTAATAACGGTCTTTTGTGCATTTATTCGTCCAGTTTTGGAATACGCCTCACCTGTATGGCATTTTTCTCTCCCTCAATTCCTCGCTGATCAAATCGAGAGTATACAAAAACGTGCATTGAAAATCGCTTTCCCCCAGTCCTCCTATACTACCTCACTAAGAAACACTGGCCTTCTTACACTTTACCAGCGAAGAGAGAATCAGTGCTTGTCATTCTATAAGAATATCCATCAACACTCAGACGATAAGTTGAGAACGCTACTTCCCAGTGCTATATCTCACAAATTCAGTCTAAGAAATAAACGCACTTATCCTATGTATAAGTGCAAAACTGAACGATATAAGAACAGTTTTATCCCAAAGTGTGTTAGAAACTGGGACCGACCATAGACATAACAAAATATTTTATAGTACATATCATTAATATAGTTTATATTATAGTAGTTTTAAATTGAACTTTTTGCAAATTTAAAAATTTTAATACTATCTATGTAATATCACGTTTTTTAAATTTTTATTAATTTACAATGTGGTAATTATTAAAATCAATCAATCAATCAATCAATATTGACTTGACTTTTATAACCCCTATGGATATAACTATCCAGTTTGACATATCTTGTATACTTACTTCTTCCTTAGGTACAAATAGGTGATACTTGGGCAAGCAGTCCACGGTCGATCAGTATAATTGTCTTGTGCGAGACATACAGTACATCAAAGTTAAATATCAAAATAGTTAAGTAGGTAGTGTTAGGGAAAATTGCATCTAAATATGTCAACATGAAACATGGGCAGTCTAGGTAGACACTTCCCTTGACAAATAAAATTGTCCGGCGTTGGAGAAGATAATATTTAACAAACTGCTGAATATTGGCTCATGGGTATAATTAAAAAAAACATGCTCAACACCCTTGCCGAGGTGTCTGTAAAATATATAAAATGTAGCCCAAAGTTGTTACATATATTATTAAGCAGATCATGCAGGTGGTGTAATTAAATATACTCATAAGTTTGAACATGCAAGCAAACTAAGGACTTTAACTGTCTCCAGTACACTACACATCCATGAATCAAGTTGCCACACAACACATCATATTGACGTTTTAATCTAAGCGGACCCACTTATACACAGGTTTCACTTAACACTTCCCCGGGGCAAATAAATATCATGACGGGCAAGTAAACGTTTTATCTTGCTTGTCCGATTGAGCTAGTTGCCATGCCACAAAAAGCTGCCAGGCATGTTTTCATTGTCAGATACATTTTTTATAGTGCATGTACTTGATTCAATTTTTTTTTGTGGGCCAAAGCTAGGATCTGATCGAGGCAGTATAACATATAGCCATATTGACGAATCAACATGTTGTCCCCTTAATTTATATCTTCCACCTGGGTATCCGCCCCAGTGGCCATTGTCCAATGGCAAGTGATTTTTTATATTCAAGGCAACTAATTTTCCTGTCCTACTTGCCCCAAGAGTGAGAGCTGGCAAGTGGTAAAAATAGTGAAGTTACACTACTGTTATATATATGAATAAATATTAGAAACGTATGAAAATAGCAGGATCGAATTAGCGATATTTGCCGATTTTTGTGAGAGGATAACCGATACCCCGACAGGGCTCGCGTCGACGACAACAAAGGTTTCTTTATGGATGTCGAAATACGCCATGCATGGGGCTGACGTTAGAGCGGCTTTCAGGTTGTCGACCGCGTTTTTATGTACCGTGGTCCACACAAATGGTGTGTCGTTTTTCGTTAAGAGACGGAGGGGGATGGGGCAGTGATTGTTCCAAAGTTGGGGATGTATTGACTGCTGTAGTTCGCCATACCAAGAAGGCTTCGTTTGAAGTGGTGGGTGTGGCCACATTCTGGAGGTCGACGACTCGTTGAGGGTCGGGTCGCGTGCCATCGGCAGAGAAGATTTGACCGAAAAATTCCAATGTGGGATTCAATAATTTACATTTGCTGGCGTTGAGGGTCAATCCTCGGGTTGTTAGACATTGTAGGCACTTGTCTAGATTTTCATCGTGTTCCTTGCGAGTACTTCCATAAACGATAACTGATCGTCGGCTACGTTCTTGACTCCGATGAGTCCTTGTAACTGTGTCTGAAGCGTGTATTGGAAAATCTCGGCGGCAGAGTTTGTCCCATAATTTAAACGTTTATAGCGATATAGCCCGATGTGTGTACTAAATGTGGTGATATGTCGGCTTTTCGGATCGAGTTCGAGTTGGTGGTACGCCTGGCATAAGTCCAATTTCGAGAAATATTTCGCGCCGTTCAGTTCAAATCTTACGTCATCAACCGTAGGTATCGGGTGTCGGACCCTTTTGATCGCCTCATTCGCTTGTCGCATGTCAACAGAAATACGCACTCCTCCGTCTTTTTTTGGCACGGCGACAATAGGAGAAACCCAGGGGGTTGGTTCATCTTCAGGCACTCGTCCGATTATGTCGTCTTTTTCAAGGGTTATGATTGCATCTTTAACTTTGTCTCGGATATGGTAAGGGATGCGGCGCGGTGGTTGAGCTTTAAGATTAGCATCGGGATCAATGTTTAGGTGGACGGTCTGTCCTTTCAGTTTTCCCAATCCGTCGAAAACTTTGGCATTTCTCTCGAGAATGTCATTGAGTTTGGGATCTTTATTAAGATTTTGCGGCAAAGGTTTGGAAATGTTGTTGAGGTGAAGACTGACGAGATCCAGTTCTTGGGCTGTTGACAACGATAAGAGGTTTCCGCTTGTTGAACCCTGTTGTAGACCATATGGTAGGCAGGGTGGTGGTGTAGCAGTCTTTTGTAGGCACGATTGGAAACTCGAAATTTTGGAAGAATGTTCGAATCCTTATGAATGTCTATGGACTAAAATAACAACCAATAACTCGATATTTTACTTATCAGCAATATATCATCCTCTATCTCCCGAATACCACCCTGATGACCTCCTTGATTTCCTAATGGACTCATGTGAGAGATTATTATCATTAGCGCCCAACGCGAAACTAATCATATCTGGTGACATTAATCAATTGGCGATAAAGACATTGCTAAATTACCATTCGTTAGTACAGATTGTGAATCTTCCGCCTCGTGGCCAAAATATCCTTGATGTGTTTGTAACAAATGTTCCCAAATTCTAGAGTAAAGCTAAAACGATAAAAAGCCTTGTACGATCTGACCATCTGGCTGTTTTACTTAAACCTGTGGTTAAGGCAAAAGCCATAAGAAAAACAGTAGAGTTTCGCGACTTAAGAGAGCACAATAAGTTAAAAATGTTGCGGAAAATGGAGGACTTTCAATGGGACACAATCTCCAGTGGTACTTCTTGTCCAAACGAAATGATCAACAACTTTTATAACAAAATCTGGGCCAACATACGAACAATGTTTCTCTATTATTAAAACACGAGTATCTAGTAGAGACCCTCCTTTTCTTTCTCCAATAGTTAAGCATCTCTTAAAGCTGAGGAAAAATGCCATTAACAAGAGAGATAACGAGAGCAGTCATCGCCTACAAGAAAGGATTAATAAACTCATTCGGAGCAATCAACTCAAAGCAGTTAAACAAGAAAATAAGAACCAAAATTGTGGATATAAAAGATGGTGGTCATTAGTTAACAAAATAACTGGTCGTGGTAATAATGAAGTACCATTAAGCCACATTATTGATCCAAAGGTAATGAATGAGCATTTTCAAACTATTAATACAGATACTGACTATGTTACCCCCAACCTCTCCCTATTCCCCGTGGCACAAGAGTACCTGAATTATCCGTCCATACTGTTTGTAAACTACTATTAAATCAGAAACGAACCACCTCGGGTCCAGATGAGTTACCACATTGGTTTTGGAACACCTATGCGTATGACATTGCGCCTGTGATAACCATCATTTTTAACAGCTCAATCAAACTGGGCATTGTTCCTGACAGTTGGAAATTAGCAAATCTTCTACCTGTCCCCAAAGAATCTCCTCTGACAGAATCAAACCAATTACATCCCATTTCGTTGACTAATATAATTGTTCGCCTTTTTGAAAGAGCAATCTATACAACTGAATTAGTCCAGGTGATGGAAAACGCCATCCATAAAGATCAGTTTGCATATAAAAGAGGTTATAGCTCTACAATGGCCCTAATAAAAGCGCAACATACCTGGATGGAATGGTTGGATGGTAATGCTAGTATGGTACGCGTCTTCTCTTTTGATTTCAGTAAAGCTTTTGACACTGTACCGCACGAGATTTTATGCAATAAGGTGAAGAAGCTTCCTATTAGTCCCTATATTACCAATTGGATCATTCATTTCCTAACCAATAGGTATCAACGAGTCGTTGTTGATGGCGTTAAAACAGAATGTTTGGCTATAAATCGTGGAGTTCCTCAAGGAACAGTATTAGGTCCAATACTGGTTTCTATGATGATTAATGATATCCGTCCTGTTCAAGCCTCAAACTTAATTGTTAAATTTGCAGATGACATAAATCTAGGGATTAAGGTCACAGATGATAGTGACGCCTCTTATATGGAAACAAACAATATTATCAACTGGGCGGAAACAAATCGCATGAAACTTAACTACAAAAAGACGTGGGAGATAGTCATTCGCGCCAAGATAACCCGGCCACTTCCTGCGCCTCTGCCTATGATTGTTCGTAAAAGTTGGTTGAAGATACTTGGTGTAACGTTTCAAGAGAATCCTTCCATGTGGGACATGCTCTAGATGAATTAATGAGTAAAGCCTGTAGCAGAATGTACATTATTCGGATTTGCAAATACTACGGGTTTTCTAGGAAAGAGCTGGATCTTCTGTTCCATAGTCTTATTTTATCAAATAGTTTTTGGTATAGAGGTCTGGGGATGTGCGTCGTATTCTAAGTATCTTAGTCAAGTAGATAAACTTTTAAAACGTGCATATAAGTATGGATATCTTATGTATCAGGTATCGATTGTTGATATATAAAACAATAAAGACAGAGATTTATGGGAGAAAATAACTACGGATCCCAACCATGCCCTACAAGTTTTGCTGCCTCCTAGTCGTCAATTAGAATTACGCAATCGCGGACATGAGTATGAACTACCGAGAGTTCGAACAGAAAGGTTTAAAAGAGTGTTCGTTAATAGATGTCTTTTTAACTTCATATGATATTTTTTAAATTAGAAATTAACTTCTTAGGAACTTCATTAAACATTATAATAATGATATTTTAGCTCTATTAATGAATAATATCAATACTAATTCAGAAATTAGTATAATAATTATTGATAAGTAAGTGCAAATTGTAAGCTCGTTTGTTGTGAGGTGTTGCTTTTAATATTTTAATAAAGATTTATACATACATACATAAATACATAAAAGGTCGCCGCGGTAATTTTCCGGCGTGTTTTGACAGTTGCTGTAAACTTCCCAAGGAACGGTACCGGGGTTGTGGAGTTGTACGTAAATGCTTTCGTCGTTGTCTTTTGTAGAGAGATACCGCGCAAAGTCTGATATGTGCGTTCATCGATCACATTTATAGTAGCGCCTGTGTCAACTATTGTGCTAAACGAATGGCCACCCACTGTGACGTTAACTCGAGGGCTTTTATCGAGGCTGTGAATTCCGTAGATATAATCGTCGTCTGAGTCACCGGTGGTGTAATGCTCGAGGGGTCGTATCGGGTTTCGTGTGGCGTTGCTATGGTAATTCTAAGTGGGGTCTTGCTGTGCGAGACTGCCACTGTATTGTGCAATAGGTCTGCTTCGACAAACGCTTTGAAAATGGTTAAGTTTGCCACACTTTAGACACTGTTTGCCTTTGGCAGGGCAAAGACCTTTGTGAGGAAAAGATCCACCACAATTGCGACATCCCGTCGGTCTGTAGAGCAGACCTTCCAACTTTGTGGCATGAAAATGAGTGAGATTTAGTTATTTCCTGTAATCTGAGTCGTATAGCCCGCCGACGGCGGGCTGGCGCCTGCAGTTGGCAGTCGTTGACCTAGGGAGGTTCGGGTGCATGCCACCCCCCCGGAAATTTTTAAATCTGGCGTCTCTGAAATGCCATTTCCTGCATTTTGGGGAAGATTAACAGAATTCTAAAGGTACAAAAATGGCATTAAAAAATCTCAAAAGTAACACTTTTTGGACATCTGCATGCAATTATAAGTTTCATTTATTTTTTTATTTCGTTAATACTGTTTAATTTAAAAAGTAAAAGTCATTCTAAATTTAAATTTAAATGTTAATGAGTTATAGCTTGCGCTTATGTGCTTTGTTGTATTCATAAGTAGCAGATTTACCTGCTTTTAATGCGTTATCATGCCCACGCGCGAAAAATGCTAATTCATCACGCGAAATTAATAAGATTATAGTTTATATTTTACATAAAGCGTTGTTGGGGAAATCCCTCATTAACTAAGTGTCAATTTACTAATTTGCGCAATAGTGCAACTTACGCATTGCTATACGTTACACAGCAACTGCTCGAAAAATACTTTATTTTATAGCTATTGATTCAGCTAAATAGGAATATTTGCTTGCGAAGAGAAGCGTTAAAACAAAAGTTGGATCGCTTCCTATTTTTTGGCTTTTGCGTGAGAAAATAAGTGAGTTATGCGTGTGAGCGTGAGAAATATGTCAAATGCGTGTGTCTCACGCAAAATGCGTGACTTGGAAGGTCTGCTGTAGAGAGCGTTAATTTCGTCAAAGGTGCACGTTGCGCTGTCGGGCGATGTCGATTCGATGTCTTTAGCTTGGAAAGCGCTCTGTTCGTCTCGGCGGCCTTCTAAGAGCATGGCAGCTAAGTTAAAACTTGGATCACGCAACGCACGTTTGCGGATTTTGGAAGAGGCTCCTCCAATAATTATTTGTTCTTCGAGTTCGAAATCTGGCGATGCGAACTCGCAAGTTTGGGCTAAAGGTCGAAGCCGTGTGTGAAACTGATCGAGAGTTTCCTTGGTTCTTGCACAGCCTTTCGAAATCGATACACCTCGTAGCGTCTGTTTTTCTGAGGTTCGAAATGGGCAAGTAATTTCGCTTTGGCAATATCATAGTCTTTGTCTTCGCCAGTGTCAGGCAGCTGTTTAAAGATTTCGCGCACTCTTGCGCCAGCTTGGTATAGCAACAAAGCTCGTTGTCGTTTAGGATCTGTAACGCCACTAGCCAGGAGAAACAGGTCAAAGTCTGCGACCCAGTTTTTCCAACGTGTAGCGACGCTCGCGCCAAGTTCAGCGTCGGGATTAAACTCGGGCATTGGGCGAATAGGTACTGAATGTGCCATGCTGACTGTTAGATTGTGAGATTGTTGCTCCATAAAATTTACTCCTCTTCGCCACTGTAACATCTAAGTACTAGGTATATATTTGTGCTATAGAATATATTTAGCATAACATAACGATACACTTCTAATTGATGTCTTAGTGTGTGTGTTCCTTCTACACAACGTGTCCTATCTGCTATATATATTTAATTAGTTCCGACCGTATAGTCCTGCTGCCGAGTGAATGACAAGACGTCATTACTATAGATTTCTATCCATCTATATCTGAAGAGCTCCTGAAAGAATCCCTAGCATTCGCCTCACAATACGACGAAATAACCAAAAATGAGAAAGCCATCATCATGAAAGCAAAGCAATCGCTGCTCTTCAACAGAAGTACAACTTGACGAAAGAAAACATCAGCCGATTCACTTTTCGATGTAACCATTGGTAGTTTTGACGGGGCTGAGACATGCGAGATAGTGGGATCTTATCTTCTATCACGACTAACGGCAGAGTACGGCAACAATATCGGTCTGTACAGAGATGACGGCCTCGCAGCATTTGACAAAACACCGCGCGAAATCGAGATCATTAAGAAAAATATTTGCAAAGTTTTCAGTGACAATAACTTGAAAATAACCATCGAAGCCAACAAAAAATGCGTCGTCTACCTAGACATTACACTTGATCTCAGATCGTCATCTTACAAGACATATATGAAACCCGGAAATACACCGCTATATATCAACCACAACAGCAACCACCCGCCACCAATACTACGCAGCATAGCAGACGCTATCAACAAGAGGCTATCGAATATATCCTCTGATAAGCAATCCTTCGAGTCGGCTGTGCCCCCATATCAGGAAGCCCTGCGAAAGAGCGGTTTTAACTATGTCCTCAATTACAATCCCCAGCCACCAAAACCTAAACGTAATAGAAACAGAAATGTGATATGGTTTAACCCTCCCTACAGCGCCAACGTTGCCACCGACATTGGCCACAAA